CCCGATCGTCGAGTCGAACACGATAGTCGAGTCGAACACGACACTGCCCGATCGTCGAGTCGAACACGATAGTCGAGTCGAACACGACACTGCCCAATCGTCGAGTCGAACACAATATTGCCCGGTCGTCGAGTCGAACACGATAGTTGAGTCGAACACGACACTACGATCGTCGAGTCGAACACGACACTACGATCGTCGAGTCGAACACGATAGTTGAGTCAAACACGACACTGCCCGATCGTCGAGTCGAACACGACAGTGACCTATCGTCGAGTCGAACACTATCGAGGAGTCGAACACTATCGAATAGTCGAACACGATAATTGAGTCGAACAACATTATCGAGTCGAACACGATCGTCGAGTCGGATACGATCATCGAGTCGAACACGATCGTCGAGTCGGATACGATCATCGAGTCGAACACGATAGTCGAGTCGAACACGATCGTCGATTGCGTTCGTCGAGTCGAACACGATAGTCGTATCGAACACGATAGGCGAGTCGGACACGATCGTCGAGTCGAACACGATCGTCGAGTTCAACACGATCGTCGAGTCAAACACGATAGTCGAGTCGAACACAATCGTCGATTGCGTTCGTCGAGTCCAACACGATAGTCGAGTCGAACACGATCGTCGAATCGAACACGATCGTCGAGTCGGACACGATCCTCGAGTCTAACACGATAGTCGAGTCGAACATGATCGTCGATTGCGTTCGTCGAATCGAACACGATCGTTGAGTCGGACACGATAGTCGAGTCGAACACGATTGTCGAGTCGAACACGATCGTCGATTGCGTTCGTCGAGTCGAACACGATAGGCGAGTGCCCTGTCATCGAGTCGAACACGATCCTTTCCTGTCCTCTAGTGGAACAAGATTGTGTGCGGTGCAATGTCATCGAATCGTTCGTGATTGTGTGCAGTGCTATGGCCCGCGTGCGTCGTGTCCTGAAAGATCGTGCATGGGTTGTGTGCGTGGAATTATGGGCGTGGATTGCGCACGTAGATTCTGTGCATTGTGCTGTCGTGCGGCCTGGTTTGTTTCCATTGTTGGGGGGAGCGGGGTGAATAGTTCTATGCTGTTGTTGGTTGTTCTATTGTTGCTGTTGACCGTTGCCCTTGTGCCGTGCAGGGCGTCTTCTCTTCGCTGTGGCTATGGAGATCTCTAATATGACCCCAACACTTTGGCGTGCACGCAAGGCACACCCTTTCCTGCCTTGCGCGCTGTATGCCCGGCAATGTCAGGGCAGCGTAACCTATGAAGGCGCTTGTCCAGAAGACTTCGAATGCGACCCTTGGATGAGAATCCTCCCGTTTGGAGACAAACATTTGGACTTATGGAAGGAGTGCGAGTGGGTGAACATGACGGAGAGATGCCCGTGGGCGTGCGATTATGAGTTCGCGAATATGTCCGAATTCGGCAAACGCATTCCCATGCCGTTCGATGTGCTGCGTCCCGTGCGCTTGCCGCTTCTGTGTAAAAAGCTAAAAATAAGTCGTGCTGTGGGGGTTTTGGACTGCGAATACGTGACAACCTCGCCTCGCACCTGGTGTCGTGTTATGAAACAGGAGTTACTCAATTGTGCGCGACATTCTCAGTTCCTCGATCATTATCCGTTGCGATCTCCCGGTCTGTCGCCAGGAGCAGTTTCGTATTGTTGTGTGACATTGCATCTGGCATACTTTATCTTCTGTAGGGTCCTCTGTATTGCCGTTTCCAGCACGACAAGAAACTTGACCGATGCTGTCGTGTATGTGTCAAGGAACGAGTTGTCTATGTCCGGGAGGGATATGTGTTTAGTTCAAAGAAAGGTAGATGGGAGACTGGATATCGTGGTGGGTGGCCAGGTGAAGGACGTTGTTGCATGGCGCGAGGTCGAGGCTAAAGTCGTTTCAATTCGGGATGCTATAGGCACTTCTCTCGTCGGGAACTCCGGATTCGTGCGAATGACATACATTTCGGTGTTTGCTGAGATGGCGCAGCAGCTGACCTTCGGATCGCCAATTAGCATGTTGAATGGCCGCAACGGCGGGATTGTTCCCCGTAGTCGGTAGATAGCCTTCGTCATACTGAATGGCCAAAACGGCATACTGAATGGCCGCAATGGCCACAACGGCGAGATTGTTCCCCGTAGTCGATAGATAGCCTCGTGGAATTCACATTGCGATTGCTGTTCTAAATGTGTTATTTCGATAACAATACTCGGTAGCTGCTAGTTGTTCTCATCATGTGTTCAGTGGTCAAAAGTACACACGTTTGACGTTGTTGTCCTCATATTGTTTTTCGATTCATTGAAACCCGGGAACGATGACACATGTTTTTGGTTTGGCTGTGGACACCGACACATCGCTGCCAGCCGAGTGTTTGATTGTTGTTCTCATGTTGTGTTTCCTTTCGGAAAAAAAAACTCGTTGTTCTGATATTTTGCGTGCACAAACATTCAACAGTCAATGTTTCTCCGTGTTAACCAGTGCTTGCGATCTGTTGTCTTGTGTTCTCGTGATCAAGTGCCTCTTTAAGCACCGTCCGCCGACCATTGTGTCGAACACGACAAATGTCGCACAACACACCCCAGTGTCGCTGTCATGTTCGACACGATGGTCGCTAGACGGTGCCCGAAGGGGCACGTGGTCGACTGTTGAACGGCAGACGATAGTGTCGCTGTCGTGTCGAACACGACGGTCAGCTCCCCTTCAGGCACCGTTTGGCGACCATCGTGTCGAACACGACATGGACACTCTTATCTGGCGACCAGACGGTGCATGAAAGGCCGCTTGGTCGACTGCCGCACGGCAGACAACAGTGTAGCTGTCGTGTCCAACACGACGGTTGGTCAGCCCGCGCAGTGCCGAGCTCGACGTCGAGCAGGACGACGAGTTGGTCGGTCGTCGGGTTCGGCATGACAGTGATACGACGACACCACAATGTCGCTCTCGTGTCGAATTCGACGGTACTGGAGGACGTCGTGGCACGACCGTTGAGTTCGACACGACAGTGAAACGACGACGAGCTGGCGGGCTGCGGCCCGCTTCCGTTGCTCTCTGTTCTTGTCTATTCTTGTTCTCAAGTGATGTGGTGTTTGTACGTTGGCAAAGCAATGACTGCTTTCTCGCTTACGCATTTTCTTCAGTTGCGACTAGCTGCTTGACATGGATCGCGAGGGGAAGCCAAGCAAACGACGTACTAGTACTGGTTCCTGGAGCATGGAGCAGTCTCCTAAGAAACCGAAGGGGACACCAACGGTTGGCGTGGGGGCTGGCGACACACCGGGGTCTAAGGGCCACCGAACCCCGGTGCTGCGGGGTGCACCTTCTACGGGCACTCCTTCCGCCCATGTTCGAGGTTCGGGACCGGATTCGGCTGTGCTGATGACTGGTCGGGCTGCGGGTCGAGAAGAGGAGGCTACTGGTCGGCAGGGGAAATCTATGATGGATGTTGTGTCCAGGCGTAGAAGGTCTAGTGAGACGTCCGTTGCAGGTGTGGGAGACGAGGTTCCTGTCGTCGACCACAAAGACAGATGTTGGATGTTGGACTTGGTGGGTGGAATCGGGGAACCCTTGGGTGGGCTGGTTTTGTACGTGGTGATCAAAGATAACATTGTTCCGATTGGCGGTGTGGTGAAGTGGAGTGGAGGAAATTCACAGTTCGCCATGTTGGCGTTGACGATGGTCCTTAACGCTAGAGGTGAGCGGATGGCGAATGTCAAACGCGTTGCTCTTCGTTGGGCC